AGGACCAGGAGGACCCAGAGCCCCCACACATTAAAGAGGAACAGGAGTACCCAGAGCCCCCACACATTAAAGAGGAACAGGAGGACCCAGAGCCCCTACACATTAAAGAGGAACAGGAGGAACACTGGACCAGTCAGGAGGGAGAGCAGCTTCAAGGTCTGGAGGACGCTGATATCACCAAGTTCTCATTCACTCCTGTGAAGAGTGAAGACGATGAAGAGGAAGCTCAGTCCTCACAACTTCATCAAAGACAAACCGAACAGATGGAAACAGAAGCTGATGGAGAGGACTGTGGAGGACCAGAACCAGGCAGGAACTCAGATCCAGATAGACATCCAGTACCAGATACTAATGAGAAGACTGGAGACTCTTCTGACACTGATGACAGTGGTGATTGGAAGGAGACCAGAAAACCTCAGACAGGTGTAAACTCTGTGAATAATGATAAAGTTCGTGTCAGTGATTCAAGATGTAGTGCAGGTGAGAAACTATTTAGCTGCTCTGAGTGTGAGAAAACATTTGGCAAGAGTCGAAATCTGAAGATACACATGATGATTCACACAGGAAAGAAACCTTTCAGCTGCTCAGTCTGTAAGAAATCTTTTGGACGGAGGGAAACTTTAAAGAGACACATGGTAACTCACACAGGAGAGAAACCTTTCAGCTGCTCAGTCTGTAATAAGTATTTTTCAGTGGGTGGACATTTAGAGAGACACATGCTAACTCACACAGGAGAGAAACCTTTCAGCTGCTCTGAATGTGGTAAAACTTTCACTCTAAATGGAAATCTGAAGACACACATGAGATTCCACACAGGAGAGAAACTTTTCAGCTGCTCAGTCTGTAATAAATCTTTTTCAGTGAGTGGACATTTAGAGAGACACATGCTAACTCACACAGGAGAGAAACCTTTCAGCTGCTCTGAATGTGGTAAAAGTTTCACTCAAAATGGAAGTCTGAAGAAACACATGAGATTCCACACAGGAGAGAAACTTTTCGAATGCTCAGTCTGTAATACATCTTTTTCAGTGAGTGGACATTTAGAGAGACACATGCTAACTCACACAGGAGAGAAACCTTTCAGCTGCTCAGACTGTAATAAATCTTTTTCAGTGAGTGCACATTTACAGAGACACAGGCTAACTCACACAGGAGAGAAACCTTTCAGCTGCTCAGAATGTGGTAAAAGTTTCACTGAAAGTGGAAGTCGGAAGAAACACATGAGACGTCACACAGGAGAGAAACCTTTCAGCTGCTCAGAATGTGGTAAAAGTTTCACTGAAAGTGGAAGTCTGAAGAAACACATGCGACGTCACACAGGAGAGAAACCTTTCAGCTGCTCAGAATGTGGTAAACGTTTCACTGAAAATGGAAGTCTGAAGACACACATGAGATTCCACACAGGAGAGAATCTTTTCAGCTGCTCAGTCTGTAATAAATCTTTTTCACGTAGGGGACATTTACAGAGACACATGGTAACTCACACAAGAGAGAAACCTTTCAGCTGCTCAGTCTGTAATAAAAGTTTTGTGCTAAATGCAGAACTGAAGGTGCACATGGTAAGTCACACAGCAGAGAACCCCCTTTAGTTGTTCTGGTTTTGATGAATTTGACATTAATTGCACTCCCTCACCTGTCAACAAGACCCTGAGATACTTGACCTCCCTCTCTTGGGGCAGTGACTCATTTCCAACTTGGAGAGCGGTATCCACCGATTCCCTGCAGAGAAACATGGCCTCAGACGCGGAGGTACTGACTCATCCTGATGGCTTACCACTAAGAGTGTTGTACTTTCAGATATCGATATACTTGCATGTAATCCCATATTGCTTAGAGACGTTTCAATTATTGAATTGCTTTAATGTTTGACTTTCTATCATTCATCAAAATGTGATCATACGTGCTTATAATGTTGACTGTTATGTTAAAGCTAATGAATTAAGTGAACTTTGGGTTGAACTCACTCTGACATGATTGAATGACAGCCAGCTGAGGAGAAAGATTGTAAATTCAAAAACTAACTATTGTCTTAGTTAGGGGACATCCTGTTCAGTGAGAGCTAGACAGACACCTTCTACAAAGGAGGGGGCTAGCAGAAAAGCATTCAACTTAGAAAGTAGGTATGTCAGAAGGGATAGGACTGTTGGAACTGTTTTGTCCACTGATTTAAGAATGTTCTGTTGTCTACCTTATATGGACCCGGAGGTTGCAGAAAGCGCCAACGAGAAGGGTACCAATAGGAGACAACAAAGGATCGAGGCTTCTGGACGCTATTATCTATTATTTCATTTTTATTACTCATTTCTTTAACCTTTTTCTAAACTTACTGTAAAAACCAAATAAAACTGGATTGTATTTTGTGCATTCCAACCAAAGTCCAGTGTTGCTTGTCTCTGGTGGGGCCCTCGTAGTCTCCTCAAGGTGAGGGAGCTCTTCCCCTGGGATAGGCTGACAGTTGTACATTTATTAGACATGTGATCTGAATGACATTCCTGTTACAAGCCAAGGTTAAGGTGTTGTTCAGCATTGTTGTGATTTACTAACTTTGTTGGCTCAGATTGATTCTGAAGCTCTGCTAATGTATCTGATGTGATGTTGCAGTGTTGGTTAATAATGTTTAGACAGTAGCTGAAGTGCATTAGGAAGCAATAGG